AAAAGGTGGTATAGCACTGGTCTGTGCGTTGCTGTACAGAGGTAACTCGTGGTTGCTGTGATGCTGAAGCCTGTGACAGTGATGTGCCATTCGTGGTAATGGGCACCCATGGTGGACAGTGTTGGCTGGAGCTTCCCGACTAAATCAAGCCTGGAAGCAGGAGCGGCATCCACTTCCGAAATGGCTTGCCTCTGGAAACTCTATGTACGAACAGTGCTCAGGCTGTTCGTTCATAGGGTCGCTATGAGTCGTCTACGACTCGACGGCATTAAGCAACAACAACAAGAATAGATGCTTCCTCTTTATTTTCTAAATGGATTAAATAGGTGACAATTGCAATTACGCTAAGTCTGTTTTTCTCACTGTAAAATGAGAGTGATATTATCATTCATAACTTTCCTGTGGGAATTAAAGAAAACCATATACTAGTGCAGGATTGTTAGGACTGTAGATCTCTTTTAATCTAAACAATGTAAGTGGTGTACAGAGCTAGCTAATTTTAATTTGTTTTGATTTCATTTACTTTGGGCATTACATGGCCCACAAAGCAAGATTCTGAAGTTATTTTTTTAAAGCCGATAAAATGTGTCAGCCTTCCACAAAACATTTAATAAAATAATAAAGGCCGTGTGTATTTAATGTTCTGTTGCTTTGACTGGCTCAGGGTGTAGAGTGAGATGGAGATGGTAGGAGGTGACAACCACCCCAACATGTAAAGAGAAGCACTTTAGTAACCTGTGACCTGTATAGCAGTTTCTTAAAGGATTCCCATGGGCTATATTCCTGCTTCAAGATCCATTAGCTTTTTAGAGGGATTCTGCCTATTTCTCATATGGGGATGATTATTTGCACTTCCAGAGGTTTTACGTGAAATCAAGTTAATAACTAACCTCATCTGGCATTGCTTCTAATGCACAGTAAATATCAAGAAAATGCATCACGCTGTTTTTCATCTTCTTGCTTATTCTGCTCTTTTTGGTCTGAGCACCAAACCATGTATAGGTCTTTGCTCATATATGGGGAGGGGGGTGCAGAGAAGACTATATGATACTCACCATTCCTAAGTGATGTGAGCTACAGCCCCTGGGAACAGCTATCTCAGAGTGTTCAGGGCGATCACCAGGGATTTGAAAATGCCTAGAAGACTTATGAACAAGAGGCACCATGAATGTTTGCTTTGCTGAATTTTATTGCAAATTTCTTTGCTTGTTTATATTACTTTTCTAAATGGTTAAGACATATTTCTAACTTAGATTATTATTTTAATTCACAATCATCAGCTCAAAATATTGAATGGGGACTTGAAAGCCTTGAAGATTGTTCCCAGCTTTTCTGTTGACTTAGTGTTGTTCTGCAGGCCCAAAAATACAGTTTGAAGCTACCAGCTTCTCTGTGGGAGAAAGATGGGCAGTCACCTACTGTGCAATTTACAACCTGTGAAAACCCACTGGAGGCTCAGCAATGAATTGGTTCCAACTTGATAGTATATAACAAGAGTTATTTAGGCTTGACAGTTTGATTTCTGTATTATCAGTCTTTTATAAAATGAGCATAATTATCACTGGGCTTCACCCTACCTCTCCCCCCTCCCAGAATGCTTAAAATTCTTAGAAGTTTTCTCTTGTATATTTTCTTACTAGGCTTTAAAGTATATGTTAAAATTATGTTAATATCATTGTCTCAAGGAAAGAATATATCTCCTGAAGGTATGCAAAGGATAACATTCCTGGTCAGGGCCCTAAGCCTGCCCTGGAAGGCAGAAAAAAAAAGGTGTGCAACTGATCTAACTGCCTGCAGTGTTTGATGATTAGGCTCTGGGGCCAGACTTCCCTCTGGTCAGAGCTCTCCCAATGGGTGTCTTCATTGTTGTTTAATGCCCTCTAGTCACCTGGGACTCATAGCAACCCTGTAAACAATGGATCTGAACCCTGCCCTAGCCTGTGCCATCCTCACCACCTCCCATACAGTTGAACCCTTTGTTATAGTCACTATGTTTTTAGAAAAGTCGTACAACCTTGGTGAACCCCAGTAAAATGAAGTGATGAGAATGGTGATAATATTTCAGGGGTGGTTATGACAACATTGAAATCGTGATGCATGCAGACATCCTAATATATTACCAGGCTGGCATGTAAAGTGTTAATGGTATTGTCAGCATTCAGTGAATGAACACCCTTTTCCTTTCTTTGAGCTCTAAATAATTTTAGAAAGAATGTACAAAAGGACAGGTCATGATTAAATTATTGCTTTTATTATTATTTAAAAATATCAATCAGGCTTAGTTTTATTGTTAAGAGAAGGGGAGGGGAGAAGAAGAGAGAAGAGACTGAGAGAGACACACACACAGAGAACTAGAAATGTAGATAGTCTGAGAGTTAAATGAACTCACCGGAACTGAACCACTGAACGAGGGTTAATCAGCTAGTCACAATTCCTGACGAATCTGGGAAGGCTGACCTAAGCTAGTGTTACAACACGCATTCTTTATGAGTAGATTGGCACCCAAAGAAGAGGGAAGGAGAGGGTACTGAGCCTATTATGCCCAGTTTATTCTTGTCAAAATGACCCAACAGATGGTCATCCCACATGCCCGAGAGTAGTGAGAGTAAGTGGGCTGAAAGAGGCCTGAGGCCTTGCACCAAATGAGTTTCCTCTGCTTCAAAGAATTCTTCCCCATAACAATCTACAACCAGGTTTGTTTTTATGAAGCTGCAGTCACATGATCTAGATGCAGGGCTCCACGGTCTGGATATTGTTTCTAAGCTAATGGTTATTTTCTATGGCTGCATCTTGGAAATCACCTTTGATTATTTAATAAAAAGAACAAAAATATATACATATGCTCATGTGTCACTCCAGACCTACTGGAGAAGACTTTGGAGGCGGGGGCTGGACATATGCATTTTAAAGAAATGTCTTCGGTATTTATGGTGCAAATTCAGGTAAGGACCCAGTTCTGTAGGTGTACTGCCTAATTTGTAGTTTTGATATCACATAACAATAGTGTATTGGTGGTGGAGTCCATAGTGCCTTGCACTGCTGACCCAATGACCATGCCTTCTTGGCTGTTTGATTCCACCGTGGGTCCTGCAGGATAAAAATGGGCAATTTCCTGTGGTGTGATTCACAACCTCAGAAACCCACTGGAGGTTCATTCATGTGTGTCTTCTGATTGTTTGGAATAGCCCATTGCCCCACGCCTTTGCATGTGCCTTTTCCACTGCTGGAATTCAGCCTTCATTAGGGATCTCTGATGACCTTCACTTGGGCAGGAATTCTGCTTGTCTATCTACATGGGCTTTGGTTGAGTCCTGTCTGTGGTCTTCCCTGCTCCTCCTCCCTTCTCTCTCACTCCTTGCCTACGGAGATACCTTTTGGCTGCAACTGTTCTACTAGAGTCTCAGCTACTTCATAAAATGTGTTCTGAATTGAAATGATTTAATAGTTAGATGTGAATATTTTTTCAAAGGTTCATATCAGTACACAGAGTTGCAAATGCACAGAAAAAGATGGCAAAGTATAGCACCAAATTAGTAAGCTATCTTGTGGACTTTGTCTCTCACTATAGCTTTTATAGTATAGATGACTGACTCTGTAGAGAGAGGCAGATGGTGTGAATGATGCAACTTGGCTTATCCACAAAAGGGTTGGCTGTCTACTATTCCACAAGGAGATTGGTCAGTCTCAACAGTCTATGAGAAGATTGGCTAGGCTTGCCAATAAATTGAAGAGCTCTGCCTGCACAGAGAAAAATCTTCCCCCACCAAAAGAGATGGAATTCTTCTCCCAGGCAGAGAATAGAGACCTCCCCTAACTTTGTGAAACATAGGACTTGTTTCTAGATGGCAGAAGCAGTGATGACTGAACTGGAGAATTTATGTGAGATGGGACTTTTGGGTCTTGGGGCGAAAGCTAATAGTGGCAGGACTGAGAATTTTTTTTGACAATTGGGTAGAGAGACAATATTGGCAGGACTGGAACTTGGGAAAGCCCTGAGGCTTGAGGCTGAGGTGCCTATATGCACATTTGGGAGTTTTATTACCTGCATTCTCTTATTAATCTGAATGATAACCTTTTGGCTCATGTAATATGGTTCTTTGTGGTCTGTATGTCACATAGAATTTTGGATGAACAAAGCAATAACACTGGTTTTGAGATGACGAAAAGAGGCATGGAAGCATGGGGGACATGTCTGATTTCATGGGAATCAGTTTTGTGTTATTGACACTATGCAAAGGGACAGCCCCCTGTGAAGTTGGTAAAGGACAGATGTGGCATTCCCCATGTGGCCCTTGTTCTTTTTATATAACTTATCTGTGAGGAGAAAAATTTGGGGAGAAAAGGATATTTAATTATTATTAATTTTTCCCTAATAAGGACTCTGTTTACTTGTATGCTGTTTTAATTTTTAAATTACTTTATTTTGATTATAGATATAAAGAGCAATATAAAATAGGAACTGCAATGTGTAGGATTTATGCTCTACATTTCTTACTGTGGGACTTCTGTCATCTGAGCCAAAATTCCAATTTTGGATAAAATTCTACCCTCTTTCATTTCTTCTTTCCCCTTGTCATGTTTTTAAAATCTGCAGATGATCAGATTTATGTTTACATGATGAAGGAATGAGTCAACTTTCCCCCATTTTAGCATTATCTTTGTGCCACAAATAAACTGGACTCATAATTTGCTCTGATTGATGACAGTTCCAGATGGTACAAATTGTTTGCGCTGTCGTAGTAACTGAAAGGTTGATGGTTTGAACCCATCCAGCAGCTCCAATGGAAAAGGAGTCTGAGATCTGTTTCCATAAAGATGAAAGCCAAGAAATCCCTATGGAATTCAGTTCTACCCTCTAATGCACAGGGTCACTGAGACAAATAGGAACATGTATCATGTTATAAATTTGAATGTAGGAAGAGAATGATGACTTGTATTCTTCTTCTAATCATACATATCTTTTCTTATTCAGGTAACTACGGATTTGAAAGTTTTGAAGGATGGATAAAGACTTCCGTTATTATTTCCAGCATCCCTGGTCTCGCCTGATTGTGGCTTATTTGGTGATCTTCTTTAACTTCTTAATATTTGCCGAGGACCCAGTTTCTCATAGCCAAACTGAAGCCAATGTTCTTGTTGTTGGAAACTGTTTTTCATTTGTAACAAATAAATACCCTAGAGGAGTTGGCTGGAGGCTTTTGAAGGTGCTTCTATGGCTACTTGCCATTCTCATAGGACTAATAGCTGGCAAATTTCTGTTTCATCAGAGTTTGTTTGGTAAGTACCATAATCCACCAGATGTAATATTTCTTATTATTTAATCTCCATTCACGAATATGAAGTATTATATTTTAAAGCTAGTATTGGAAACATTTTAGTTGGTCTTCCAGCTTAATTTGCTAAGCACTAAACATTTTAAGTAGATTCTTTCACTATTCTGTTTATTAGTGTACTTTTCGTACTGCTTAAGGAAAATTGGTACAACAGAAATTGATATGAAACTTAATTTGAAAAAACTAATATCAGTGTTAAAATGAAATTGTGTTGTAACCTTAGAGAAGACAATAAAATAGCTCTTTCCCCAATAACCTTTACCTAAAAATTATATAATAGAACATTAATGAATCATAAAGAGGAGGCTTCCATATCACATTATTTCTTCCTGAGAAAAACATAACTATCACCAATATGTTCCATTTGTTTTTGGATAATCCTCAGTAGCATCTTGCTTGCATGTGAAATCAATGATATTGTTCTGTAGTTTCCACACTCAGTTGGGCCACCTTTCTTTGAAATGGGAACAAATACAGATCTCTTCCAGTCAGTTGGCCATGTGGTTGTTTTCCAGATTTCTTGACACAACTTGGTGAGCACGTCCAGGGCAGCATCTGTTAGCTGAAATATGTCAATTGGTATACCATCTATTCCTGGGGCCTTATTTTTTGCTATTTCCTTCAAAGCAGCTTGAACTACTTCCTGTTGTTTCATGAAATTCTTCTGTGATTGCCGATTCCTTTCTATACAATGACTCAGTATATTCTTTCCATCTTCTTTTAATACTTCCTGGTTCATTTAACATTCTGCCTAAAGCATCCTTGATTATAGCAACTCGAGGTTTGAATTTGTTCTTCAGTTCCTTGAACTTAAGAAATGCTGAATGAGTTCAGCCCTTTTGATTTTTCTGGCAGAGAAGATCCAGAAGTCCAGGCTGGGTTAGAAGGGGTCGTGGTACTAAGGATATTGTAGCTAATGTTATATGGATCTTGGATGAAAGCAGGGAGTACCAGAAGAATGTCTATCTCTGTTTCATTGATTATGCAAAGGCGTTTGACTGTGTGGCTCATAATAAACTGTGGCTGACTCTGAGAAGAATGGGAATCCCAGAATACTTGATCATGCTAATGAGAAAGCTATACTTGGACCAATAGGCAGTCATCAGAACAGAGCAAAGAAACACTGCATGGTTCAAAATTGGGAAGGGCATATGCCAGGGATGAGTCCTGTCTCCATATCTTTTCAACCTGTAGGCAGAACAGATTATCCAGGAGGCTGGGCTCTATGAGGAGAAATGTGGCGTCAGGATTGGTGGAAGATCTATCAACAATCTGCGTTATGCAGATGACACAACCCTGCTTGCTGAAACTGAGGAGGCCCTGAAGCACTTCCTGCAGAGGGTCAAGGACTGCAGCCTTCAATATGGATTGAGGCTCAATGTCAAGAAGACAAAGATTCTCACCACTGGACCAATTGGCAGCATCAGGATGGATGGTGAAGAGATTGAGAATGTTCACAGCTTTAGTCTGCTTGGCTCTATAGTCAACACTCTTGGCACCAGTTGTTGTTGTTGTTGTTAACTGCCGTCGAGTCGCAGGCGACTCATAGCGACCCTATGAAGGGGAGTCCTTGACGCTTGTGTGCCTTTCATCCTCTCTCCAAGTTCATAGGGTCTCCGGAGGCAAGCTATTATGGAAGTGGAAATTAAAAGACGTATTGCCATGGGAAAGTCTGCTGTTAGGGACCTCTCTAAAGTACTGAAGAGCAATGACATCTCTCTGGAGACGAAAGTGCGTCTGATACAGGCCATGGTTGTTGTAATCACTTGTTGTGCATCAGAGAGTTGGATCGTGACTAGGGAGGATAGAAGGAGAATTGATGCCTTTGAGCTGTGGTACTGGAGAAGAATATTGAGGGTACCATGGACTGATAAGAAAACAAACAGATTTATCGTGGAGAGGGTTAAACCAGGCTGCTCCTTGGAGGCAAGGATTCAGAGGCTTCTTCTGACATACTTTGGTCATGTTGTAAGGAGAGACCGGTCCTTGGAGAAGGACATCATGCTTGGGAGAGTAGAGGGATGGCGCAGGAGGGAAGGCCCTCCAGGAGGTGGATTGATTCAGTGACTGGGGTAATTGGGATAGGTGTGTTGGAGACAGTGAGATTGGCACAGGACAGAGCAGAGTTTAGGGCTGTTTTAACACAGGGTCGCTATGAGTCACAAGTGACTCGACAGCCACATAACAACGACAACAACAACAACATCGTCAATATACTTACACCTGTTGTTTAGGAAGAGGATTATGATAGTGCCCTAATATGTACCCTCAATTTCCCCTTTTTAGCTTTAGAATACTCATTTTGAGCCTAAACTGTAAAATACTGCGTTAATAAGCAATCTCTTGGAAGTCAAGACCAAATTAGTTTAAGTTAACAAGATACATTGTAGTTGTTATGTGCCGTCGAGTCATTTGTGACTCATAGCGACCCTATGCACAACAGCCCTAAACCCTGCTCTACCCTGCGCCAACCGCACTGCCTCTGACACACCCATCCTGATTACCCCAGTCACCGAGTCAATCTATCTCATAGAGGGTCTTCCCCTCCTGC